TGATTTCCACAGTGGTTGCACCAGTCTGCACTCCCACCAACAATGGAGAAGGGTTCCTTTCGCCCCACAACCCTGCCAGCATTTGTTATTGGTTGATTTCTTGACAGCAGCCATTCTTTCTGGTGCAGGTAGAATCTCAGTGCTGTTTTCATAAGCATCTCTCAAATGAGGAGTGATGTTGAACATTTTTTCATATGTTTATTTGCTGCTTGTACTTCTTTGAGAAATGTCTGTTCATTTCAGATGCCCATTTTTAATTGGGTCTTTATATTTGGGGGTCTGATTTTTTTAAGTGCTTTATATATTCTAGATAGTAAGACCTTTGTCTGAGGAACAGCTGGTAAAAATTTTTTCCCACATTGTAGGTTGTCTGTTAGCTCTGTTGGTGGTTTCTCTTGCAGTGCAGAAGCTTTTTAATAAGAAGAGATCCCAGTTGTTGATTCTTTGTGCCAGTTCCGGTGCTACTGAGGTTTTGTTCATAAAGTCTTTTCCTATGCCAATGTCTTCAAGAGTTTTACCTAATTTATCTTCCAATGAGTTTAGTGTTTCTCTCTTAATATTTAGATCTTCAATCCACTTCTATCTTAGTTTAGTGCATGGTGAAAGATATGGGTCTAGTTTTAATCTTTGGCAGGTTGAAATCCAGTGTTTCCAACACCATTTATTAAAGAGGCTATCTTTCCTCCAGTGAGAATGGTTGGCTTCTTTGTCAAAGATGAGGTAGCTGAGTATGTCTGGAGTTGTTTCTGGGTCCTGTAATCTATTCCACTGATCCTCAGGTCTGTTTCTTTGCTAGTACCATGCTGTTTTTATCACAGTGGCTTTGTAGTACAGTTTCAAATTGGGAATTGTGATACCCCTGCCATGACCCTGTTGCCTAGCCTAGAATTGCTTTTGCTATTCTAGGTCTCTTCTGGTTCCAGATGAACTTTTGGATTGTTTCCTCTAGTTCTGTGAAATATGCTATTGGGATTTTAATTGGGATTGTATTGAATCTGTATAGCAGTTTTGAAGTATGGTCATTTTCACTATATTGGTTCTTCCTAACCAGGAACAGGAGATATCTCTCCATTTTCTTATATCCTCTTTAATCTCTTTTTTCAGAGTGTGGGAGTTCTTAATGTAGAGGTCTTTTGCTTCCTTTGTTAGTTTGATTCCTAGATATTTCATTTTTTTGGGGTGCTATTGTAAAAGGAATTGTTTCCGTAATTTCTCTCTTACTGAGTCTGTTATTTGTGTACAAGAAGGCTATTGATTTTTGAGTGCTGACCTTGTATTCAGCTACTCTACTGAATGTGTCAATTAAGACTAGAAGTCTTTTGGTGGAGTTTTTAGGGTCTTCTATGTAGAGTATCATATCGTTGGCAAATAATGAGTTTCACTTCTTCCTTTCCTATTTTTATGGAATAAAATATTCTTCAAGAGCTCAGAGATCCTGAGATGACATGTGGACAGAGTGAACCAGACTGCCTGGGTTCTGGTTACTTTCCACAAACATTTTCTAGTTGCAAATAAGGATGATCTGCAGACAGATGTCAGACAGCTTGAGAAGCAGCCATATGGTATCTGGTAAGGGATTCTCACAATACCTGGAAGCTAGGCCCTGAAAATGCTTTAAAAGGTTGTGGCAGCCAGGTGCGATGCCGCATGTCTGCAATCCCAGTACTCAGGAGGCTGAAGCATGAGGATCACCTTGTATTCGAGGCCAGCCTGGGCTATATAGTGAGTTCAAGGCTAGTTTGAATTGCAAAGCGATACTCTGTTTCAAAAAAAAAAAAAGCTTGTGGCACCTCAGCCTGGAAAATTGTTCAACCTGCTCCAGATGGTCAAGTAACAAGATTTGCCTGTCAATAAAAGGCACAGCAATGAAGTATTTCTAATACTGATAAGTCTCAGGCACATTCATTATAAAGGGATTTAAAGAAAGCACTTAGAAGACACCTGTCTCCTGCTCCCACCCCGACCAGAGAAAGGGGAGAGCTCTCTGCAGGAGAGCAGGCAGAGCTGAGAGACAAAGCACTAAGAAGAGGTAGTCTGGGGGTTTTGCTCTGGGGTAAAAGTGACAACCAGGTATTGGGCTAGCAGAAGCACTGGCACAGTGGCACGTGAACAAAGACCTGCCATCTCACTCCAGCCCACAGTCCTGCTTTGACCTTTCTGTGAAATGCAAAGAGTCAAGGAAGTAAGGAGGGGGGAAAGTGGAAGAGATAAAGACTGTTGTTAGCAATTGTAAGGAATTACCAGGGCACAAAGAGCCAGCCTCAGGAATACCTTTGATACTGGGGTGGGAGAGTTTAGAGGCCAAGGTTACTTAGCCTCGAGAAGATTGGCAAGCTAGGTTGCCAGAAAAGACCCTAAGCCAGGTTTCCAGTAAAGGCCTAGTACAATCAAAAAGGGGTTTAGTAGGCCTATGCTTCTGGGATCAGGGGCCGGATATTGATACATACCTTAAAGACAAACTGAGAAATAATACATGTTAATAATGATATTTAGGGATATGAACATTGATAACTTCCATTTACTGAGCACCTACTATATGCTAAGCATGTAGTTATGTTCCTTACATAGATTATATTCACAACAACTAATACCAGAGCAAGTATTATGCCCATTTTCCAGGTAAGAAAACTAAGGCTGGGAGAAACTTAATTTAACAGCCCAAAGTCAGGCAGCTGATAAATAGTAGAAGTAGAATTTGATCTCATGCTGTGTCCATCTTCAGGGACCCAGTGTCTCTCACAAACACTTACTTGGGGGAATCAATGGCTTCTTGCTCTGATGTCCTCCAAAGTCCTCCCATGCCATAATAGTAAGAGGGCTGTGCCTGCTCAATTTGAGACCCCAGGTGGCTCCTTATTGGAGTCAGGAAATCGCTGGTATGGAGAGCAAAAGACTCTTGGTCTGAGAAGCTTTGTGAACCTCTCCTTGAGGCCTCCAGGTGGTCAAGGCTCAAGGGTTGTGGCTGCTTGAGGACCTCTTCAGGATTGGAAGCACAGGGACCAATGATTTCTGAACTAAAATACCTAGGTGGCAACTCCTCTTCTTCCTCTTCTCTATCCTCCTCCTCCTCCTCTTCCTCCTCCTCCTCTTCCTCCTCCTCCTCTTCCTCTTCTTCCTCCTCCTCTTGCTGCTGCTGGTGCTGTTGTTGCTGCTGCTGTTTCTGCTTCTGCTGCTGCTGTTGTTGTTGTTGCTGCTGCTGCTGCTGCTTCTGCTGTTGGGCTGCCCGGAAGAGTTTGTATTTCTCCCAGTTGGGAGGAGGGGGGCGAGGAGGAGGAAAGGGCTTCTTCCTGGCTCCAACAGGATCAGGCTGTGTTTCGTCACCTTTGGTAAAGAGCTCCTTTCGATGCTGCACCCAAGCCTGGGTGTTCTGAGGCTCCAAGCTGATGTGACTCTCTGAGAAGGCACGGCTGCGCAGTGGACGGGGCATGGAGGCAAGAGAATTCTCCTCATAAACTGAAGTTTCTTCTGTTTTTTTCAAGCCATGTTTGAAGTCTCCAAGGAGGTCAAGAGAAGAAATTGCTCGGTGGCTCAAGTCAAGTGCTGAGTTCTCAAGGCAGGAATGGAAGGAGGTTGCCCATGAAAAGTTGGCCTTGGAATGAGCCATTTCCCTGCAAAATAGTAAATGGGGTTTGAAAAAGATAAACCACTTTGCAGATGGGTCCATATTTTGAATAACATCATTTATAAGCAATTTAAGACGGCCACAAAACACTGTAATGCATGTAGTAATTACACTAGTCACAGTAATTATAATCACAATAATAAGACTATGATAATGATAGCTAAAACTTACTGCGCATATACTAAGTATCAGACACTATTTTAAGTGCTTTTCTTGTCTTATTTCACCTTCACAATAACCCTACAATGTAGCCGTTATTCTCACTTTATAGTTAGGGAAACTGAGGTATAGGTTAAGTCATTTGCCTAGGGTCATGAAGCTAATAAATGGTAGAACTAGGATTAGAACTTGAACCGTCTCACTATAAAGTCTAGATACATACACACTGACCTAGTCTGTTTATAGCATTCAGATTAGATATGCTATATTTTGGGGCTTACCACCTGGTTGTTGTGCCTTATCTGCCATCTTTGTTTTTTAATTAGAAAAAATTTCAAATATTTACAGATGTATAGGTATTGCCATAATAAATAGCCATGTTCCTACCTACCACTCAAAATTAGCACATTTTAATACTTTGCAATCTATGCTTCATACATATGCTTCATATTTTTCTTAATAAATAATAAATTGGGCAGGGATTTAGCTCAGTGGTTCCGCCGCCTGCCTCGCAAGCGCAAGGTCCTGAATTCGATCCCTGGTACCAAAAAATAAAAAAATAAATAAAATAAATAATCCCCTTTGTATCACTCCTCACTTCCATTTCCCTTGTTGCCTCTTTGGATGCAACCTGTATTATGAATTACATATGGATACTTTCTATGTTCTTAGAATTGTAGCAAAATTACCAAGCAGACCATTCATCTGCTATTTGGATTTAAAATATCTTCTTCTAAAGTTCCAATCAGAATTCCCAGTATAAAATTTATAACTATAGATTTTTTAACATTACCTTGCAAGAAAAGGCAGGATATTACATTAAAGAGTGTTCTGCTACTGAAGAAATGAGGACGGGGATAAATAAAAGATTACACATGTTATAACATAGCTGCAACTAAAAGTATGTTATTAACAGGAAAAAAAGTCCAAAAACAAAACTGTTTATAAAAACATCAGACATAATCTTCCAAAAGAAAGAGAAAACAATCTTTTTGAGGTAACTGCAGAGCAGTGCTATTTGGAGCTACACTATATAATGTATATCAAAATAAATTCAAGATCAAGACTTATGGATGTATGTACATATAATTTTAATGTACTATATATATATTATATGTTATATAAATATATATGTATAGTGTATTTATGTATAGTATAGTTAGAAAAAACTATCAGAAAATTTTAAAAGACTATCACTTGGGAGGCAAAATAAGGTTCTGTTCTTGTAATAGAAGAAAACCTACAAGGAAAAAGCCCAGGTTTATTTAAATATGTATAAAATGTCAATCTTCTGTATAATAAAGTTTAAAGACATCGCTTTTGCCCCAGAATATAAACAGTTAAACCTTCTGAGGCATAAGGTCTGGTTTCTTGCTGTAGCCTCTGAGCAGTCAACATCATGCTAAGTCATACCCAGTGACAGGAAATTCCAAGGGTTCAGTTAGATCAGACAGAACATCCATTCAACAGTCATGATGAAGACTGAGAATATTTCTTTAAAAATAATAATACACATAATAGTAGTCCGGCTCAGATAGAATGGAAAGCAAAATGTTCTTCATTCCCTTTATCTCAGTCGCCGTCTGGGCTAGTTCACCATTCACATGGATCAGAAATTCATATTCAGAATCTTGACCTCTTCTCATGTGACCCTTAGCCTACCTATAGATCCCTTGTGCACACTCTCCTCAGGAAGAGGAATTCCTTATGTGTAAACTGTTCTAGCTGGCATAGCTCTTCAGGAAAAATAAAAATAATAACAAAAAGTAATGAGTGTAAAGGATACTAAATGCATACCAGGCAGAGAGGCCCCCTCCTGATTAGCTTATCTAATATAGAGATTATTTCTTAATCATCCTTAGTCTACTTTTTTCTCTGAGCACTCATCCCCACCTGATATTATATCACATATTTATTTTCACTTATTTTGTGTTTTACTCTTTAAAATATAAGTCCCACAAAGGTAGGGGTCTTGTATCTTATTCAATTGATCCAGTGACTAGCACACAGTAGGTCTTCAATAAATATCTGTTTAATGCATAAATTAATGCAAACATTTTAAAAGTTATGATACTTCCTTTATAAAAACATTTCATTCAAGGCAAAAATCAATAAATAAGACACAGATGAGACTCTAACTACCCTGAAACTTTTATGCACCAAAAATCCACAATATCAAAATTGATAAAGCAAAATCTACAGGAAATGCAAAAGTGGAAAAAACCAAAAGCAAAATGTACAATTGTTTCAACTGATGACAGACTATGTTGGTCAAAAACTAAGTTAATGGAAAAAATCTAAATTTCTTTATATGCTAAGATCAAAATGATCAAAGTAGTTATGTCCACATACAAATGTGCCAAAATGGAACTCATTAATCTATATAAAGAATATGCACTAAAAAAGGAAATGAAACAAACAAAAAAGGCTACACTTTCTTTCCAAGGGCTTATTGAATATTATAAAAATCAACTACATATTGAACAAAAAAAATACAAGTAGTACTAAATACAGCCTATAATTGCAATTAAATAACATTAGAAATTAGTAACAAATATTAAAGATTGAAATCTCTAGCCTCTAGATAATAAACAGGGGGAAAAAACCTTCAACTTTAGCCAAAGAGGTAATCTAATTTGAAATTGTGAAATATCTAGAAAATAACAACAATGAAAATACTAGAAGCTAGAGGATCTCCTTGGCTAATTGTAATCCCAATTACATTGATACATAAGAATAAATTAAATTAATTAAGCTTTTAACAAAAGAAGTTATGAAAAGAATCTCAAAAATAAGCCTAAACAAAGGAGAAATATAATAGAACTAATGTTAAAAATAATATAATAGAATGCAAATGATAGAACTAATAATGAAAGACAAAGTCAGTTCTTCAAAAGAAAATACAAAACAGTAAAACAGATAAGCCACTTGTTAACCTAATTTAAAAAACCCAAACACACAAACTTAGAAATGGAGAAATAACCAGTAACAGAACAAAAGAAAAGAGTAGAAGAATACTTTATTTTACAAAAAAATTTGAAAACTCAGAATGATTTTTTAGAAAAACAAAAATTACCAAAACTCACTACAGAATATCTAATCCACCAGTTGCCATAAAAAATACTGATAAATTCTAGCAAAAATAGCACAATCACATAATCTCATGTTAATTTGATCAATTTTCATGAATCAGAAAACATCAATGTTACTTATACTTTCTAGATTCTGGAATCTAGAGAATAAAGAGAGACGAAAGGTTCCTGCATAACACTGATACCAAAATCCAATGAGAAAATACATAAAGGAAAACTAGGCTAGTGATGCAAAAATTTTTAGAAAAAATATTAGGAAAGAGAATCTAGGAGGGTGTTAAACATATAGTACATCATAAACAAATAGGGTTCATCCTAGAAATAAAAGACTGGTTCCATATTAGAAATCTAGTCATATAATTGACAACATCAATAAACTAAAGGATAAAAACCATAATGCAACCTCCCTAATCCTAAAATATATGCAATAACAATTTAACATGCTTTTCAGATTTCCCAGATTGAAAAAAATAGGGAAATGTAGGTATTCTATATACCATAATTATCATCATACGTTTTTTACACTTGATCTTAGACAAAAGGCTGAGAAGCAATCATCATCATACATTTTTTACAAAGTAAACATTGTACTTAATGGCAAAACACTAGAGGCATTCTCACTAAAATTAGGAATAAGAGAAATTATCTGCTTCCTCCACTGGTATTTAAAATTGTTCTGAAAGTATTAGATATGCAATTTGACATGATAAATATGAAAGCTTTGAAACAGGGGATATCTTATCGCTATGTATAGATGATACATCTTTCTGGAAAATTCATGAGAAGGAATTAAAACATTAATTCCAATAGTAAAAAAATTCAGTAAGGTATTGGGGTAATTTGTAGAAAGTAATTTGTAGAAACCAACAACTTTCCTATGCATGCAACAATCAGAAAATACAGTGGAAGGAAAGCTTACTACATAAATTAAAAAGATTAAATGCCTAGGAATAAACCTAAACAAGAAATATGCAGGGCCTACATGCAGAAAACCATAAAACTCTATTGAAAGATGTAAAACAAGATGTAAATAAATGAAAAGACATACACTTTCCTAACACAGGTGATTCGATATTATAAAGATGTCAACTCTACCTAAATTAATCTATAAACTTAGTGCAGACTCAATAAAATTGTCAACAGATTGCATTTTGGAACATTATTCTAAATTTCTTTGGAAAAAACAAAGTTGTGAGAATTGCCAGGAAAGTAGGAAAAAAATGATGAGGGAATGGTAACCCTACAAATTACTAAAATATGCTCTAAAGATACAGTGAATAAAGCAATCTCAAAAGTAGAAAAGGGCCGGGGATTTAGCTCAGTGGTTCCGCCGCCTGCTGCGCAAGCGCAAGGATCCGAGTTTGATCCCCGGTACCAAAAAAAAAAAAAAAAAAGTAGAAAAGCAGATCCATGGACAAAAACATAAAACACTAGGACATTGAAGTAAATCCAAAACATATATGGAAAATTAATTTGTGAAAAAGAAATTACTTTAAATAGTGAAAGAATGATGGCTTAGTCAATATACAGTTTTAGAACGTCTAGATAACCATTGGGACAAAAATAAGGCTGAATCCTCGTATCACTCTTTACAACAAAATAAAGTTTAGATTATCAAGACTCAAATGTAAAGAAAGTGACTTTACAAGTTCCTAAAAGAAAACAAAAACATGGGAAAACTAAAATAATCTTGACAGCATAAGTTCTTTTTAAGTAAGATACCAAATACAGTATA